AAAACCTTCCCTAGAAGACTAAATAAGTTTTCCATTTGCTACAAGTTATAACCAGAATTCAAAGTGAGGCTCTGGTGATGTAAAAAATAAAGGGTCAGAGTTACATTTGACAGCAGCTCAGGAACATTCCAGACTGCACTTAAACACCACAAAGCCTGGAGTTTTATGGCATGGTGCTCTCTTCACACTGACAAAGATGTAGGAGACAAAGAAAACATATTGCAAGAGTATATCACTGTCAAATTTTTTAAATTTTGCTATTTTCTCCTGAAACAATTCAGCAGGCAGATTAATTTCAAAATATTACAAACATTCATATATGTAATTGGCTGAATTTGACTTAGTATTATTTTATCCATAATAAATTTACAAATGAGATCCTTACCCCTAAATATAGTAAGATTCCATAGAACATAAATTTCCAGAAAAAGCATCGCCGAAGGGCATTAATGAGTTTGGGATTTTTCTTGGATGCCAGCTCTCTGTCCCATTCTCTGCAAAAGAATAAAAAGTGGAACCAATAAGGTGATTGTGCAAATATTTGAGTTGTTCTATTCCCCTTAACCTAGTTTTATTCATACAGGTACATCCAAGGAGACTAACCAAGTGACTAACGAGATGAAAATTTGTGGAGACCTTCCAACACAGCTCAGTCAGTCATTTGGCAGAATTCAATGCTCCAGCGCATATCAATTTTGAGGGAGTTGACCTCATCAAAAGGCCACATTATATTTATTAAAGAAAGGTTCTGGGCTTCTTAAAAGCAATACAAAATGTGGACCAATAAAGTATAACTCTAATGAATGCACATTGCTGTGCCGGAACAAGGTGAAAAATAAACAAATATTTCATTTTTTTCCTTCACTTTTTGATTTTTACCTGTTTAGAGTTGTGGTAGACTTTACATAATTTAACCATCAAATCAAAAATAAGATAAAAAGTCAAATGAATTTTTCCGTGGTTTAATGTTAGAAAAACTTGTTATTTAGACTGTTTTCAAATGTGCAAGTATGAAACAAATATCATCAAGCTTAATTTTCAGCTATTAAAGTAATTTATTGGAGTAAGGCTTTGAATGATTAGAACAGAATCAAATTCTATATTTTCTAGTAGGAATATAAATAGTCTGAAATGGTTGATATATAAATACATGTTTTGTTTTCTTTTAAATACTATAGGTTTATCAGCTGATTATATTTATTTTAAGTTATTACCATTACTTTCTACTGGTAAAAGTCCCCTTTCTCTTTCCAAGATAAGAGTATAAACTATACCTCTAAATGTTACCTTCATCTTCATTTTTAAACTGCACAGAGATAAAAAATGTCATGAACCACAGGCAAGAACTAGATAAAGGCTTTGCATCTGATCAACAGCTATTCCCATCACTATCAATTTACCATTGTTAGGGGTGGTTCTAATTTACTTCAAAGAAAGAACACACAACTGAGATTTGAGGGCAAACTTGGAAGTCTGTGTATGAATGTTGGCTTCCTCCAGAAGCTTACTATCTATAATGCCTAATTACCCATCCTATCTATCTACCTCTCTACCCTCTTCCTCACTCTTTCGCACACACAGAGATTGCCTCCTATCCATATCATTCAATGACTCACAATAAGGTAATAAGCTGAATATGGAGGCAAATTCAGCCTCTCCCTCAAAGGAAGAGTCAGATGAGAAAGTCAAATAAATGGTTTCAATGTGGGAAGACTTCAACCCTGAAGTCATATATGATGATGTCATTATATTTGATAATTAAGAGGCCTCCGGTAACCTTGATCAATGTGGTTTTAGGAACATGGTAGACATGGAAACCATATTTTAGGGACCTGAGATGTGAATAAAAGGTGAAAAAGTGTTGGGCTGG